GGGATAATCAAGAGTATGGGTGTTCTTATCAATCTAACCAAGTCTATACCATCTTCTAGGCCCAAGTGAACGGGCAAAACAAAGAAGAATGATGATAATAGGACTAGGCTAGCACAAAACATGGGTATTCAAAAAGGTTAAAGGGAATAAGGCAGTGTATGTTGAGGGCGAAGAAAACTGTTTCTTTTGTCGCTAACTAAAACACTAAAGGACGAACTGTTTAAGCAATGACGTGGCATAGGAAAATATATATTTAATCATTGAGCCATGTTATGTGGTTGCGTCTATTAATTCCTGATGGATAGATTCTGGAGCCACTAAACATGTTTGCAATTTATTGTAAGGATTTCAGGAATCCAGAAGCCTTGATGATATGGATATATATTTTTCTTTTGACCTGATGCCAATGTTGTAGTTAAGTCAGTGGGAGTATTACATCTGAAATTAGAGAGTATGAGGATATTAGTATTAGAGAACTATCTTTATGCACAGAAGTGAAACGCAATCTCATTCTTATTTCACTTTTGGTTTATAAAAACTGTGTTGTTATTTTGTAAAACTAGTTTTATAAAATTGAATAGATATGCGATTGCTTCTGGTGCATTGAAAGATGGTTAATATACTATAATCACAAACTCTTAAGATTTGCAGGATGTAAAAACTAATGTTGCATCTTCTAGATTGAATGTTAAGAGAAAAATTGTTATTCCTGACTCATTGTATTTTTAATGTCTATTTTTGGGTTGTTATCAATCAAAATAAGATTCAAAGATTGGTCAAAGAAGGTTAATTACCTAGTGAGGCAGGGGAGCCTAAACCAAACTTGTGAACCCTGTTTTGAAGGATAGATAACTCTTAGGGCTTAATCAGCCAGATGAAATAGACATAAAGGACAATTGGAGTCGGTACACACTGACACGTGTGGTCTTATGAACATCCAAGCAAGATTACTCACGTTTTGGATAAGTTTATCTGATGCAACACAAATCTTAAACTCTTGGTATTTTCTGAGAAGGTTAAGACTGATGTGGAACACATATTAGGTAAACTTATCAAGACACTTCGATCTGATCGAGGATATGAGTATTTCTTAGGATAGTGCAAAGACTATATGGTCAATGAGGGTATTATGTACCAGTTTTCCGCAATTGACGCTAAATGTATTTAGGTGTCAAATAGGAATAACAGAATTCCACTTAACATGGTTAGATTTATGATCAGCTATGCTACATTATCTCTTTCATTTAAGAGTTTAGCGTTAATGACATCGATGCGCATTATGAACTGCATTCCATCTTAGTCTGTCTCAAGGATACCGTTGAGCTGTGTTTTTTTACTAAATATTAGTTTGAATCATATGCACATATGGGGTAGTCTTGCACATGTGCGCTTGATATGGACAAGTAAGTTGGAAGCAGATCATAGGCATGCTAGATTTGATAGCTACTCTAAATGTCACTAGGATGGATTATTTTATGATCTCAAAGATAAAAGTTGATTCCTATGAAATCAGAGTTGGAATCAGAGTTGGAATCTATGTATTCTAATAAATTCTGGGATCTTGTAGAACTTTCTAGTAGGGTGATTCCTATGGAAGGCAAGTTAATCTACAAAAGGATACCAAAAGATTTCTTAGTGAATAAATCATGAGTGTACAAGGGAATGTCATTATTTTTCTAATTTTATATATATTGATGACATCCTACTCATTTAGAATGATGTGGAAGTTTTGTCATCAATAAAGAGGTAGTTGTTCAATTACTTTTAAATGAAGGATTTTCAGGATGTAAGCTAGATTCCTAGGATCAAGCTTTTGCAAGATCAGGTTAAAAGGAAGATAGGATTATCTTAATAATCCTACATTGATAAAGTTTTGACCAGGTTTGGTATGCATAACTCAAAGAATGAGTTCTTGCTTTATTGATATGGATGGCTCTCTCTAGTAAGTAGTTTTTCAAGACTATCAAAGGAGATTGAGCAAATGAGACTGGAACAATATGTTTCGGCATATGAGAGTCTCATATATGCCATGGTCTATACCAAACAGGACATCCGCTACATAGTAGGGATAGTCAGTAGAGATCAGTCCAATACTGGACTTGACAACTGGTCTATTGTGAAAAATATCATTAAGTACCTAAGGAGAACCAATGATATCATATTCATTTATGGATGTGATGATATGGTCCTAGTCAGGTATTCTAGTTCTGATTTTCAATCAGAAGTAGATACTATGAGGTTCATGACTTAGTGTATGTTCACTTAATGGAAGGGAGATCAGTTGGTAGATTGTTAAGCAGATTTCAACTGCTGACTCAAACCTGTAGGTGGAATATATTGCAGCCTTAAAGGCGGCAAAGGAAGCCTATTAGTTTGATCTCACTGATTTAGAGGTTGTGGAGTATACTAGCCTGCCTATTGAGCTATGTTGTGACAATAGTGCAGAAGTAATCCAAACCGATGACCCAAGGTTCCATAGAGGAACAAGATACATTGAGAGGAAGTATTATGTTCTACATGATATTGTCCGGCAAGAAAATGCACTTGTAGTTAGAACATTGCATTGGAACACAACTTTGTTGATCCATTATCAAAGGTGTCATTGATCAATAATTTTGATCATCATCTGGATAACATTGGAGTTAGGTGCAATTTGAATTGGCTATGACGACAAGTGGGAGCTGTTGGGATTTATATGCCCTGGCATAGCAAATTCCTATCTGGATTATAGTGACATATGTTCCTGACATATCTGAAATATTTATGATTTATATAATTAGTGAATTCAATGTATTATGTTTCGATTCACTATGAAATTGATAGTGTCCATGTCATTACAAGAAATATTTATATATATGTATGTGATGGCAATCAATGCATGATATATAAATAGTAATTATAAATTGTTCACAGTTGGTAATTATGGATGGACTCATAATTAATTAAGACTTGAACTGGATCCGCGTTAGGTTGAGATATATTGCGAGAGCCGTCGTATGCAATTACTCCCTATCACCGTCATGGCATTTGACTCTTAAGCATGAGAAAAGTATAGACTCTTTTATTAATTAATAATTACTTTGATTTGTTCGGCGGATTATTCGGGATCCTTAGACCGACACTTTGGGTAGTTATGTAATTAACAGTTAGAGGGTTATATTTTCAATATTTGCATCATTGCTACTTGTATTTATTTTGTATTGATTATGGTTGATCACAAAGTAAATTCGAAGACCTTCGTGTGTTTTTAGACAAAATGATTTATTATATATTTATTTATTTAAATTATTATTTTTGTCAAACAAATGTTTTATTGTGATCGAGTCAGAAATAATCAGAGGTACCAAAATAAATATATTAATTAAGTAGTCGGATTGATGGCTTTATTTATCCGATAACTAATTATGCATAGAGGGGTCAAAGTGCAATATTGACTTAGAGGTTATTTATTATTTAATTGGAGTTCAATTAATTTCTTTTAGTGGAGTAGAAATTAATTTATGAATTAATTGAATTGGGTCCATGGACCGAGCCAATTATTAATTCATTGTAGCCAATAAAATAATAGGCCCAATGGATTCTCACTCATAGCCCAACTTGATATTGGAATCATATTAGATTTGAGACATATGAATTAGAGATGGAGAAGGATTTGTTGTTTCCTTTTCTTTATTTTTATGTTGCCTATAAATATACATGGTCTATGTATATTTTAGGGTGTGATTTTTAATGAGAAGGAAAAAGGAAATTATTTTCTCTCTCTAGAAAATTAAGGTTTATATATTCTCATCTAATGGAGGCTCCCACAAGCCTAGTTTTTCAAGGTCATTCATGGAGGCTTATGAGTGATTTCTAAAGGCAAAACAATTACCAAGAAGATGGAGATCCAAGAAGAAGGCATATTGCTAAGGGATCTACAATAAGTGAGAACATTCACTTTAGAGGAAAGTTTTAAAGGTTTACTCAGACCTTTGATATAAGTATTCAATCTGTTAATTGAATGATACATCATATTTTTATTTTTGCGTAAAACTTGTCTTTATGTGATGAATCAAGATTTATGAATCAAAATCCCTCAAAAAGTTTTTAAAACTTACACGTTTCTCAACAACTTCACCATTAGTTTACTAACTCATTCATTCATTCAAATTCGAAGAGACTAACATACATACCAAAAGGAAAGAACAATACTAGGATTTAAACAAAAAAGATCGTTTTACATGGAGTGACTCAAAAACCACAGTCGCACTTAACAACCGAGCTTCTACCATTGCAACAAGCCATTGATGCTCATATAAACAAGTTATGTCAATGAAGACTATGTCTTTGGTCGGCTATTTGTTTCTGCAGCCTACAATGTAGGTTGAGTTTTATCTAATCATCTAATGCAACCTAGTTTCATAGAATTGTTATCATGCAAATTTTGCTTTCATGGAACATAGTATTTGTTTTAAAAAAGGAAAAAGAACTGAAGCCAACATAAATGAAAATGCTAAGATATGTTAAAAGATGGGTGAACATTGGTAATTAGAGTGGTTAGAAGATACAGAGTGAAAATGAAAAATTAAAGATTAGGTGTGAACTAATAAGTCATATAAAACTGTAGCTTTTCACAAAATCTAAATTATATACGGTAGGAGTTGAATGAGAGGTGACCCTTTTAAAAGAATTATGAAATTTAAATTATACTACCCATCAATCAAATACAACAAAGTAATTTAAATAATTTGGACATAATTTACGGATGGACTGGTGAAAAAAAAAAAATAATGCTAGTGAAAATGATTAAACCTTACCTTAAAGAGTGATAACAAATATTTTCTATTTATTTTTCCCTTTATACCACATATAATAGAAAAAAAAAATAAAAGGAGAAAATTAGGGTAGCAAAACTCATATTCACTATTATTTTGGAATGGAAGGAGTATAATATGTATATATATATATATATATATATATATATATATAGTAAATAAGAGAAGACCGTGGCGGTAATTGTCAAATATATCAAAAACCCAAGAAAAATGAGGAGAAAAGAACTGCGAGGAGAAACTTCTCTCTTTTTCGTCTCTGTGTTCGAAAGACCGACTCTCAGACCCATAAACCCTAACCGCATTGAATCGATTCTCAAACCGTGTCCGATCTTCCATCGATGGCTTCTTGACGGGGTAAGCGCCAACCTTTCATTTTTCTCTCTCTTTTCCTTCAATTTTCAATTGTTTGGTTGATGAGAAAATTCCGAAACAAGAAAATACATAATATTTTTTTCGGAAACTGTAAAGAAATACTGTAATATTTTAGTTCTATAATATACAATTTAGTGGCGAATTCTGAGAAAGCAAACATCGATTGTCAGAAGGATTTTTACAAGATTTTGATTTCTTTCTCTTCGTACATTTTCTCGCAAACGAATGTAATGCTAGTTCTTTTTTGATTATACTGAATAATGTGATGGTTCGGGAAAGATCATTAGAGAACTGAGGTGATGGATTTAATTTGGTCGAGCTTGTTGTCTCTTTGAATCAGAAGGAATAGTATGGATCTGAACGATATTGTGATCGTTATGAATCTTATTTATGTTGATCTGTATGATGTTGCAGGAACTTCTGTCGTGATTGTTGTGCGGAGAAGTGATTGGATCATATGAAGTGGTTACTACGTGTACTGAGCGTTGATTCAAATGTCCTGTTCTTGCATTTTGTTGTTTGTGAAGAAGTTTTTGGCAGATTGACCGAGGTTAGTGACACAACTGATTGAACATGAGATTTATCATGACGTCTTTTTCAATCTGTGTGACTTCTATACCTGCAATAAAATCTTTGATTAATGGCTAACTGCCAGCTTGCTAGAAAGGTTGCGATGCTGAGGATATTTAAAAAAAAGAATGTAAATTTTTTAGAATTTCTGTTGCATAGTTTTAAGTTACAGATCAATTTTTTAAAGATATAGGATTAAAAAAAATTTGAAACTCCATTGAAGAATTTAGAAAACTCGATTGAGTCAATTATTTTGATTATTTTTTCTTTTTTTCACTAACCACTATGTAAAACCTAGGATTCTTAATTTTCTTTAACTTTTATTCCTCTCTTATCTCTCAGCAACTGGGCAAAGGTAAGTGAAAATCTTTGTTTAATTTGGAATTGCTGGGATTCTTGGGCAGGTGAATAGGAAGAAACTGAACTATTTGACTGGGATTATTGTCATTGTGCTCTCTTGGACCTGCAAATTTACTGGAGGAAAAGGGCTATTATGGCGGAAGGAGAGGATCGTATTGAACTTAAGTTCCGAATCTATGATGGAACAGATATAGGTCATAGCAACTATGAATCATCTACTACTGTTGCCAGTATTAAGCAAAGGCTTGTTGCTGAGTGGCCTCAAGGTCACCCGTCTAGTTTCCTTTTCTTTTCATAATTTCATAATATTTTTCCATGTGCCACATGTTACAATAATTTTTGTTTAAACCCTAGTCTTTTGGTATGTGTATTAATCTTAATTCAACTGAGTGGTTTAAACATTACTCATACTATAGATGTTTCTTTTGTTTATTTTTTACCTTGAGGTCCGCACTTCAATTGTCTGCTTCATTTACCTTCTGAATTTCTGAACCATGAAATATATTCTGGTGCTGTTGGTTTTGGGTTTTGTTCCATTGTCATTAAGTTCACATGCTAATGTTATCGCACCAGTGTAACTGTGAGTGATTGACAAACAAAGTCCCTATTGCTGGGCAGGAAATTTTAGATCAACAGACGTTACCTAGAGATATTTCTAGTTTCTGTTTCTCATTTTGACTTTAAACTCATTTTAGGGACATTGCTTGGTATCAAAGGGTTTCTTCATTGAAGGTTAGTCATAAATTTTATTTAAGTAATTATGAAACCTATAATAAATATAAATACAATGGCGGAAGTCAGAATGGCGCAAAGTGGTAATGAGCGATTGGGGTATAATCTTCTTGCTGACCAAAGGAATCAGCATAAAACATAAATGTGAAGCATATTGATTTTATTTCTTTCTAGGGAAAGCAATTGGTTGAATTACATTTTTATAAAGCATACTGATGTTTCTCTAATCATGTTGACATACCATGATAACTTGGCTGTAGATTAGTGTAGATAAATATATGAGTGTTGAGATAGATGTGCCAAAATGTATTGGATTTGAGAATACACGGCAGCCTCAATACATAAATATATTGAAATGCCAAGTGGGTTGGTTGGTATACTCATGTACAAGGATAGTGATTTGTTGACTTTGCAAAAGGATTAAAAAGTGTTGTCTTGAAATAACTCAACCAATCTATAGATGAGCAAACCAAAAATGAAGTATAGATTAATCTGATATGACTGTGAGGGGAACACTAGGTATGGCGCCTATAAATGATAAAATTAGAGATAGTAGGCTTAGGTGGTAATGTGGTATGGCCAAATTCAACGTAGATCTGATGATGCACCAGTTAGAAGATGTAGAGTTATTTGCCTAGAAGCTAAGTGACAAATAGGCTGACCAACTTACATGGGATGAAGTAATAAAGAACGATTCTAAAAAAATAAATTAAAGAGAATACTGGTTTACAATAGAAAAGAATGGAAAATAGAATTCATGTGGCTGACCCCAACCATATGGGATAACTGCAAGGATGATAATGATGATGGTTTTCCAGATCAGTTTATGACCCTGATATTCTTTATTGCGGTGCGTGATTGATGCAAATGAAGAGATGAAACTGTCCACGTAAACAGCACATAAGGACTGCTATTATTCTAATCACGGTCAGAGCCTTGAGAAAAATCGGGAAAAAGTCTTGCAACTGAACAATAGTCAATAGATTGATAACATACTGAAATAAATGGGGAAAAGTTTATACAGCGAATTTGTTAGAGTGTAATAAGGTGTTGGCCTTTTATATTGCCACTCTAGCGTCCGATGAACTTCCCTGAAAGACCTTTAGTGTTCTCACACAACAATATTAATATTCTTAATTCTTTCATGCAACTTTCACTTTCCTTAACTTTTGTTTAGCATTTTTATGTCTTATTTACTGCTTACATAGAGGGGAAATTTATTCTTTAACTCTTCATTGGATAAAAGGGCACTTTCTATGCACCATAAAATTGTCTGCATCATTCTCTCATATCCTTGGAGGGAACTTCTCCCAGCGTTTCAGTGATGATCTTCCCCACATGGAAAGAATACGAATTTGGAACATTGAATTGGGTGGATGCCCAAATGTTGAAGCAAGTCAAATATAAGCATTTTCTTTAATCTTGTTGATGATTTGGGGGTCCAATATTCGTTTACTGAATTTAGAATAAGAGCCAGTTTGAGATCTCTCCTTACTAGTTGAATGACCCTTTCACTTTCTTGGAAACTTTGGCATGTTTTTTTCTATCTAAATTCTCCTTATACTTTGCATTTGGTTGAGATAGTGCTTCTTATTCATCAATGTAACAAGTTTTGTCCAAATTCTAAAATTCTAAATAGTGGTTGGAGTCAGGTTATGCCGTTATGGTGGTCTGGAAGTATAACCGATTTATTGGAGTTTTTAGCCGTTACTGCTATTTCAAAAGAGCATCTTAAATGGATAAGAGGTAGGTGCAAATGAAGCTAACTTTAGAATATTGATGTTTTAGGGGGAGGGGCATGGTTGTTAAGGTTAATTGGGTTTATGTGTTCACGTTAAGTTAGCGGTTTGAAAGGGCCGAAGCCAGGAATACTGGTTGTTTTACTCTCGGAGATTGTGATTTTCTCCCATTTATCTTGTTTATACTTTATATATATGTTTCCTTCCCCCCTCCCCCCGGAAATTGTATACTTTATAAATGTTGTTGGATAATATGAATCATTTTATTTATTATTAACCCAGATATTTAGTCTCACATACATCTTGAAAAGACGTGGCTTTTGATGGTCTGTCTTGTCAAACCAAACCAAAATGGAAAAAATGATGAAAGAAAAAGGAGAGAAAAGAGGGGAAAAAAAATGGAAAAAGTTATGTTCCCTGCTTGATCTGGACTTGTGCACATTCATATGCATACATAGAAATCTTTACATATCTCTGCATAGACACCGTTTGTGCATCTGTCTGAACTCAACCATATGCATGTGCTCTATTGGTTTCTTCTAGACAATATAGTGCTATACCTTTAGTCGACTTATATTGAAGATTTCTAATTACAGATAAATCAGTCATACCTAAGTCTGTAAGCGATGTGAAACTTATTCATGCTGGACAAGTTTTGGAAAATAGCAAAACACTCGCCGAGTCCAGAGTTCATTTTGGTGACCTTCCTGGTGGGGTTATTACCATGCATGTGGTGGTGCAGCCTCCTGCAGCTAAAAAGAAGACGGGTTAGTTTCTCTTCATTTTACGTTGTGATCTAGCAATTTCTTTTGTAGTTCATGCAATATGCTTGGACTTTATAAATTTGTCTAGAATAGGGGCCACTGAATGGTGCAATTAGTTAGAGCAGCCACTTTATGCAAATAATGCCAAAGGTTACATTGTATTCGGTCTACCCTCCCAGTACCAACATTTGCAGGACAAATAATGGATAAAGGCCTTATACTTTTTTTATTTTTGCAATGGATACGTTGTCTCCTGTCTTTTGTAATCCATTCATCCATTAATTCTTGGATCTTTTTTTTTTCTTTTTATTTTTTGGTACTGCTGAGGAATAATACCCTTCCTTTTCTTTCAAAGTACTCTTAAATTTATATTTGAGAATAAGGCGATTGATGATATTAACTATCCCAAACATATACTTGATTACATTGTTCCTCTGATATATTTATATATATATATATAAATATATTCGAACTTTTGAGATGCCCTACATAACCTTGATTGAACTGCTGCAAGAATGGTATACTGATACTTACTAGAGGAAAAAAAATGGTCTACTGAGAGTTTGTTTCTGAATGTCTCCAAGATTTGCTTGGAACATACAAGATCCTTGTAGCCAAGTCTTGTGCTTTTTCGTATTTCATTCACATATTGTTATTTTTAGGGAACCAAGTTTTTGGAATTGCACTTAGTTCTGAAACCACTTGTTTATCATTCACATATTGGTTTATTTATATCCATATATATTGGCTTCTCATCCAATGATAAAAGTTTCTGCACCACCCACCCCCGCCCCGCCCCCCCCCCCCAAAAAAAAAGAAAAAAAAGAAAAACACCCTATACCCCCTTGGATAAAACTGTGGCTGTGTAGCCCCCATTTGCTTAGATGAGGTGGCACGCACTATGTTGGAGAAGATCAAATAACTACAAGATGAACACATGGGAATAATACTTACTAATAATTTTTTTTATATATATATATATATATATATATATATATATAAGGATTGAACGAAATGGAATAATAAAATTTTAACCTTTATGTCAATCAGTTTTAGCACTTGAAACAGCAATTGTAACACCAAAGAAGAGTTCCCAAGTCTCTTTCTATTTATTTATTATTATTTTGATTTTGCACAACCGACCTGAATAAATGCCTTTAAATCTTAGGAAGTGATGGTCAAGTTTTTATTTTAACACTAGCATCTTTGTAAGCCTCCATAGTGGTGAGAAGAGGTTCTAGCTTCTCCAAGTACCAAGTTAATTTGTATTCGTTGATCTAGGAGCTTGGTTAACTGTAACAATGAGTTATAGGTGCTTGCTTGTCATGCTGTCATGATACTTGTGTTTTATGTCTCTTAAAGTTTGTTTGCAGAGTTACTCTGTTGGGATATAACGTTCTGCCTTTCTTGACCTCTTTCCCCCTTTTTGGGCATGCAGATAAGAACCAAGAAGAGAAGGTGAAGCAGAATTCGTGCTTGTGCTCCATCCTTTAATCTGGGAAGCATGCTCTGTAGCTATTTTGCACAGGATCACCGATTTACAATTTTTACCTACCTCATGATGTTAGTGTAATGTAATAGCGTCTATGATTAAGCGGGTTGCCTTCATTTCATGTAATTGCTTCTATTGTTCATGTTATAATCATTTTTCCCCTAGTGAAATTAGAATATCTAGAATGAACTGTGCCCTTCCTTTTTACTGTGTTAGATTTCTGTGTGGTTGTATGCGTGTGTGTGTGTGTGTGTGATAGAGAGAGAGAGAGAGAGAGAGAGTTGTTCATGTTGTAATCATTTTACCACAAGTGAAACTAGAATATATACAATGGTCTATACCCTTCCTTTTTACTGTGTTATGGTTATCTGTGTGAGTGAGAGATTTCTTATATTGTTCATGTCGTAATCATTTTTCCATGAGTGAAATTAATATGTCTGCAATGAACTGTACCCTCCTTTTTAGTTTGTTAGGGTTGTGTGTGGGAGTTTGTGGACCTTCAAATTTCAATAAATGACGATAGAATTTGGTAGCTTGGATTTGATTACAAGTTGTTGGGCAAGTATTGTTGTCACGGAGCTCAGGTATATTTTGGGTTGACTTGAATTTGAGTTTGATTGTCAAAGCTTTAATTAAGGTAGGCTTGTGCTAGATTTCTGACAAGAGTAAGACGAAGAATTACAAACTGTCCTGCACTGCTAAAGCAAGGATTTCTCTAGGAATATGGACTAGAGCAGTGTCCTCACGAATATGCCAACGCTAAAGTTTGGCAATAGCATGGGCGATTTTATTGCCATTTCTATGAACATGGCTAAGATGGGAAAAAGAAGTTGCCTCATCGCCACTTGAATATCAACGGAAATTAGATGAATTTCAGTCGGCCATGAGCAATTCCCATCACAGCCTGTACAATGATTAATGAATCACACTCAAACCAAACCTGACCAAAAAAAGATGATAACGCCCAAAGGACTGCCTTGTGAAGACGGATGGCTTCAGCCATGGTTGCATTAGCAGCGGGGAAAATACTAAAAACCACTACTTGCACAATATTGCCCATTGAATCACGAAAGACAGCGCCACCACCCCCTATCTGAGATGAAAAAAGAAAAGACGCATCCACATTACATTTAATCACACCATCTCTTGGAGGCACCTAGCGTGAAGGAGAGGAAAATAGAAACAGAAAAGACCCAGAATCAAACACCCCCGGCCGCTGGGTAAAGGGATGGAAAGACAAGGCATCCTTATACTCCCAAAAATGAGAACAAACCATAGCAACAACCTGGTGAGAATCCCAGTGCGCTCCATCAAAAACAAACTTATTGCTAACTTTCCAAATGCCCCAGCAACAGTATGCCGCCAACACATCTGATCCCCCTTCCTGAGACGCCCACATACAAACCAAAGTCATCCATCAATTAGCAAAGGATGATGGAGAATCAAACACAAAATCAAAACGAAGCGGTGAAACTTTTCAAATCTGAATTAATTGAGGATAAAGAAAAAGCATATGTTCGATGGATTCCTCCTCCATACCACACCTGGGACAAACCACCTCCGCATCTAAACCATGAGCAATAAGAAGCTTACGGACTGGGAAAGCTCGCTGACAACACTTCCACAGGAAATGCTGAATTTTTGGTTGAATTTTACATTTCCAAATACTATCCCAAAACAACTTATTTTGGGAAGATGAAATGCATTCCGCAGAAGCTTTGCCACTACCAAGTCGCAACAGACGATTGGCTAAACGATAGGCAGACTTCACTGAAAACTCACCATTTGATTCTAAATCCCAAACCAACTTGTCTTCTGTGGAGAATAGACTGAAACAACAATGAAGGATAGCGTGGACAGTAGATGGTTGGAACAAAGAAACAAGCAGATTCATATTCCATCCACGTTCATGAAGATCCATTAACTCCGTTACAAAAGTGGGGCAAACCACCTGGGAAGGTTGTGGAAACTTACCAGAGATACCAGGGACCCACCGATCATTCCAAATATGCACAGACCTGCTATTCCCCATAACCCATTGAGAACCCGAATCAATAATATGCCGAATAGACCACATACTTCGTTAGGCCCAAGAAGGATTGGAGCCCAACTGCGCGTCTAGAAAGGAGCAATGGCGAAAATACTTAGCTTTAAAAATTTAAAACGCCAGCCCCTGACGATGAACCATAAAATTCCACCCATGTTTCGCTAACAAAGCCTCATTATAAGTCTCAAAATTACGAAATCCTAAACCTTATTTTGCTTTAGAATCACATAATAAATTCCAGTTTACCCAATTAATATTAGGAGCCTCCCCCGCCTTTCCCTACAAAAATCAACGAACATACTTCAGAATGGAATTACTAAGTATACGGGGTAACCTGAAACATGACATCACATATGTCGGTAAAGCATTCAACACTGCTTTTATTAAAATTTCCTTATGAGTTGGGGACAATAAGAGGGATTTACAAGTCGCTAAACGATTAGCAACTCGTTCTGAAATGTAAGAAAAAAACATCCCATTTGGACCGTCCAATAATCGCCGGCATACCCAAATATTTAGCCCGTAACATTTCCTCTTAAATTCCCAATAACTAACATAAGGTATTTCGGATCGCAATGCTAGTGTTTTGGAGAAAAAAATAGCAGATTTAGAAAAATTTATCTCTTGGCCAGAAGCCCACTCATACTTCTTGAGAAGGTTTTTAATAAAGGAAATTTCGAAAATAGAGGCCTAACAGAATACAATCGAATCATCCGCAAAAAATAAATGGGAAATAGTTGCGCATGAGAACAAATACGAATACCAGAGAAAACTCTATGCTGAAGAGCAACTTGTAAAGAGAAAGATAGAACTTCTGTGCACATAATAAACAAGTATGGAGATAAAGGATCCCCTTGGCGAATGCCACGCGTAAGTTTAAACAAATCCACAGGGCAACCATTAATCACCATTGAATAGGATACAGTAGAAATACAAGCATGTATAATTTTAATCCAATGACAGGCTACCACACTGGCGAGTTATGGGTGCACAATCCCACATCACCTGGTTACAGGAAAGGTGAAGTGTTTATATGAAAGTTTGTCATCTCCAATTGGTATGAGGCCTTTTGGGATAAAGCTCAAGAGCAAAATCGTGCAGGCTGAGGCCCAAAGCGGACAATATCATACCATGTGGTGGAGTGGGTCGTTACAATAATCATCCAAATTTTCCTTCACTTGTTGTAATTGCATTTCAACTTGCACAATACTCTACCTCGAATTATGATTGGAAGTCCGAACCTAACTGTGGAATTATGATTGGAAGTCCGAACCTAACTGTGGAGGGAAAAATCTTCCTCTAATAAAAGTCATCCACGTGGCTATATTTGAAGCTTTATTTTTACGGGTTGAGATGGCCCAATACTGTTCAGGACCGAATAAAGATACCCACGGCCCAAAGTTGCCAAAGTTGAATCTCCAGCCCATTAATATTGATATTCAGATTAATACATATCCGGCCCAAGTCCATTGCATTCAACCCAACTTCATTTAAAGAACAAGACCAATCGGAAATGATTCAGCAAAGAAGGCAAGTTCTCTGCCAGGGAAGTCTGGCATGAAAAGAAGTACAAAAAGGAAAGAACTCTATTTGTAAAGTAGGTTGTATATGGAAAGAACTGGAGGACAAACAAAGAGAATCCTATCATAATTCTACCATTTTTTAGTGTATAAATAGAGGCTTAGACCTCCAATAATAATATAGAGCACTATACGCTATTTCTAATTCTAAATATTATAACTGCTTGTTTTTGAACGAGTTGTATTTTTTCTTTTTATTTATTTTAATAGAGATAAATTTTGCACCTACACTAACGAAGCAAAACTTTTTTACAAGTTTTAATTTTTGCAACCCAGAGATACAAACAGTACCCATATACGGGTATCACCACACTTGGGATCAGACACCCACCGAGCATCAAAATGGAATTGATTTGGCTTCTTATGAAAAACTGGCTCAATATCAAGAAGTAAGCACAATGATCCGACCCCCGCTACAGTGAGATGCCGGAGTCTAGCATGAAGGAACAGCCAGCTCCAAGCTTTACTAGCCAATGCTCTATCTAGTCACTCCTGAATATTAGCCAAGCCACGACGATGGTTACACCATGTGTATGGATACCCATCAAATCCCAAATCCAAAAGCCCATAATCTATCATTAACTGTCGAAAATTCTTGAGCCAAGAAGGTTTAGGAGTTCCACCTCGTTCTTCAGTAGGCCTACCGACGGTAGCTTTGTCCTCCTGCCTCCTCAAGTTGTACAAGTATCATCTCACCTCCTGCCTCCTCAAGGCGTGCAAGTACCAGCCCATTCCATCTAAAAGATCCATGTCGTCGTCGTCGTCGTCATCATGTCTAAAAAGATCCATGGTACATGAATCATGTAGAATGATCATCAATCCATGATTCCCTTTCATTTGAATTGGGTAAAATGAACCACTCACTAAGAAACTCGACAGACTGATAGGCTGGAAACAAGACATATTATATTTTTCATAACCCAAATCCTCCAACATCCATAACTCTAATTCCATATTAGTGGCCGGGTTTGAGAAGTAAATCGATCCCTTCATCTCTAAAAAGTTCCAATTTATCAGTTGGTGATAAGAATCTAATTTTTTGATGAATTTTTTTTAAAGTACTGAACCTATTATGGCTTCTAATGTGGTGAAACATAAACGTTAGAGAGGTAAGGGAGATTGAAGAATAAATTGAAATTACTAATGGACCTAGCAGTATCAAACTCTTACTTTCGAAAGGGAGATAAGTGGTTCAAGTCTCAGAAGAGACAAGTATGTGTAAATACCAACTAAAAACAAAGGAATAAATTGAAATAGTGCCGCGCCAATATCAACTCCCCTTTTTAAGTTGCTATGAAAATTATCCAGATTTTGTTATAAAATCTCAACCATGATTAAAAACCACACTATAATTTTTTTCTTTCATACATTAAGAGTAATTGCATATTTTAGTTAGCGCTCTTTAAATTGACGGAGGGAGAGATGAGAGATGAGAAATGAGAGATCTGATGCAATAGGAAAATCTTAATTTATGATAGTATCACAGGTGGGTTTGGGTTGGAGACTTGGAGTTGGTAGGTGGCGACAAAGTGGAGGATTTCGATTAGTATCTGTTGAAGTAGACACGGGAAATTTTTGTTTTACAGGCAATTCTAAATGGCAATTACTGAACTCCATTGAATATGCCTGATAACAGTGCTTTCTCATAATCTTTCGCTTTATTCCTTAATAATTTTAAAATAAAATTATATATATTATTATTAGGAACTGGATTCCCCTGTGCATTCAATTCCTTATAATCAGGGATGGATCTAGAACATTTGGTGAGGGGGAAGAATGATTTATTTAATAATTTCAAGATGCAATATCAATATTCTATTGGTATATGGTAAAAAAAAGGGAAAAAAATAGCAAGGTATGTTAGTTTAAAAATCCCTAATCACCTAATTGGCAAAGCTGAATCGGCTTACCAATTTGGAATAATTTTGTTTTGCATAAAAATCCCTAATCACCTAATTGGCAAAGCTGAATGGCTTACCAATTTGGAATAATTTTGTTTTGCATTACTTGGAAGTAGAATAAATTTTTTTTTTTTTTTTTTCTTTCGGAAAGATGAGGCAATAGTGTTTATAAATGTTTAACAAAAATAGTATATATAAATGTCGAAAAAGTTACAGGGAAAAAAAGGGAAGAACTGAAGCCCAACGAAGGGCAATAGAGACTTCAAAAACAAACCCAAACAGAGGGCAATCAAATACAGTAAAAACAAGAGCCCAACCAACCCAAGAACAACAAGAGCCCATCTAGCCCAACCAAGCCAAAAAATGGGTCTCTGTATCCGGCCGAGCATTGGGGAATGTTGGAGAGTTGAGAGGGCATAACTGTCAATTTACTAGATACATGTTTTTTGTCGGCAAGTAAACTAAAAAAGGCCGCCCCAGGTACACTACTCTCTTTATCTATCGATTTTAGGTTTCCATAGTTTCAAAAGAAAGAAGCTAAAAATATGGAAGAAATTCCCATTGGTTATAAGCTTCATCCAATCGACAGGGAGTTGATACAGTATCTTGTGTGCAAGGCAAAGGAAGAAGCCCTGCCATGCGAAGATGTTGTGAAGGACTGTGACGTTTACGGCAAAGAGCCCTCAAAACTTTTCAAAGGTTCAGAAGAGAAAGTTCTTTATTTTTTCACCAAATTGAAGAAGAAGCATAGAAACGGCTCGAGGATCGATCGTGTGACGGCGACTATAGGTACATGGAAGGTGCAAGACAAGGCTAAACCCATAAAAGATGTCGATGGTACTACTGGTACCAGCGAAGAAGATGATCAAGAAACAGCGGCAGTGACAGGAAGGAAGAGAATTTTCACATATAGAATGAGATCGGATAATATATATCTCTTATATATTATAATATTGTTCTTGCTTTTACCATGTATAACTAGATATAACTAAGAAAATAATATACCACTCCTGAATCGAGATGTATTCTAATTGATTGGGGGTTGATCCATCATCCACTCGTCCTCCCCGCCGTCCACTAGATCGCTTGGATTGAGCTCTGCAAGTGAGCTCATTGATCATCACCGGACTATGTTGATACCAAATGGCAAACATGGACCTATCTCTGTTTCTTCGGCTATCTGATTCATTGACTATTTGATTCTATTTGATGCTCTATTGGGCTTGTTGGGCCTTAGGTGTCCATTGTGCACGGGCTTCCATTTTTTGGCCTCTGGCCTGTTTGGCTAGTCATAGCCCTCCTCTTTGACATTTTTCTATCTATAATATACTTGCTTGAAACTCCCAAAAAAAAAATTATATACATATATATAGTTTCCTCTTTAATTTGCCTAACTCAAAAAACAATAAAATTTTCATATACGCACGCTACATATATAGTTGTTGATTTTATAGTATTACTAGCTGTGTTCCTAACTTTCCAAATTTTATTTTATTTTTCATCTTTTTACAATTCAACAGTCTCTAAATAGTGATTTGATATGATAGTCTGGCCAAAATTATGTAATTTGCCGAATTAAAAGGCAAAAGAGGGAAGAAATTAAGGTGATGCAAGCAGAGGAGTGCAAAGTGACAGTAACTCCGGCACCTGAAGACTGCAATACGATGGAACCCAAATTACCAACGGTACTAATGCAAGTTGAAGATTGCAATACGATCACAGATGCAATGGAACCCATATTACTAACGTCACTACGTACTAATGCAAGCTGAAGACTGTAGCAACCTCATCACATAAGCAATCAAATTTGAAAGGAACAACAGTACTAACGCAACCAGAAGAAGATTGCACAGATTGGTTGAACGATTTTGCTACACAACTCCTCCAGAATGAAGAACATTTAGGAGACAGTGAAATACTGATGTTGCCCAACATTTTTTATGCAGATATATAGTTGGTCCCTCTTAGCTTGATTTAGATTGTCTACAATCAACTACTGTGCCCCTGCTTTTAACTGTGTTTGGGTTATGTGTGTAACTTTGTGCACCTTCTAAATTTTGTAAATATATGAAGATAAATTGATTGTCAACCTTTAAGTAAAATTTATCTAATATATACATGTGTGTGTGTGAGAGAGAGATGGGCTTTCACAAGGCTGATAGAGCCTTCTTCTCCCTTAATTCTTAAAGAAGATGCTACTACTACTAGCCGTTGTCTTTTGACAGTTATTTGATTCAAAATGGTTGTTTGTCTCCAAACCAGTCTCTAGCAGTGAGCAATTAGAAGGGAGGAGAGCTAATATATAGGTAATCACCAAATTTAAACAATTAATGTTAATTTTGAGAATTAATCAAATTTAAAATATCTGCCCGCCGACCAAGTTTTTAATTTTTATTTTTATTTTTAATTCGCTAGGTCTTTAACAGATTAAAAAAGCAATCAAATTGTTCCACCAAAGTTATATGGAGGCCAATATGATTTTTGTTGAAGTTAAGTTGTTTATTCATGGAAGTAATGAAATATATATATATATGGACATTTTTTCTGTGACTTTTATTTTGATTGAGTTATATCTTCTAAATACTAAAGTGGCTCCCGACAAACCGGTTACAATAAGATCTACAGAAACGCTTATGGGTTCGAGGAAATGATCCCCTTTAACCCTAAATTTTGGGTAGCTGCATGTTGTCAGAAAGGCTATTTCAATAGCGGCTGACGCCTATAGGAACTTTTCGGGATAAGAATGCAGAACCCAAAAAAAAGAAAAAATATACGGGAGAAGTCCAAAATGGAGAAGCAAGCCAAAGGCATAATACAAAGCCAGGAAGGCTGCCCAACAGAAATCGGAAGCAAGAACACCTACCTGCTGCAAGTGACCTCAGTCCTCAGTAAAATGAAGATCCCGGAGCAGCCTTGAAGGAAAAGTTGCTGCAGGTCCTCATGGCATCCCATTTCTTTAATTGACTTCATAAAGAAAAGAGTGTACTATTTTTTAAATTATGTTTTTATTTTGAAAGTAAAAAAAAAAAACATAGAACTCTAAAAGGTTAGATTGGTGCGTTCAAATTTGTTACCAATCTAAAGCAACACTGCCCAACAAAATCTGTTATAAAAGATGTTGGGCAGCATCACCACTTCACTCTCTTCTGCTACTTGATTCTGCCGGAGTTGTTCAGCAAAATCTTTTAACCAATCAATACGGTCTTCTGATTGAATCACTTCCGATCCTTCTTTTGATATTACATTTAGTTCTGGTTCAATTGATATCACCTTTTGTTCAGCTTCCACTGATATCACCTTTTGTTCAGCTTCCATTGATATCACCTTTTGCTCCGGTTCCATTGCTATCACCTTTTTCTCCGGTTCCATTGATATCACCTTTTGCTCCGGTTCCATTGATATCACCTTCCCTTTCGTTTCCATTGATATCACCTTCCCTTCTATCACCTTTCCTTCCTGTTTTTGCCGTTTGATTCGGCAAATTACATAATCTTTTACCTGAGTAAAATATCAAACAAAAAAGTGTGTGTATATCTATGAATCTTTAATTTTTTAAGTTAATGCATTGCTAGGAGTAAGGCAAAAGAGAAAAAAAACCTTAAATCGATTTAAGTTACAGGAGTGTTATTGTTTTTAAGTTAATTACAGTTTTAGAAAGAATATATATATATATATATATAGTTTTAGGGTTTTTGAATACAGGCGCAGTAGTGCATTTGGATTAATGAGGGTTAATCATCAGGAATTAATCTAGGGCTTTCCTCCTTTAGCTCTCTTATTATACCAGGGTTTTCAAAAGACCTTTTTTTTAAAACCGATTGATGACTGAAATTCATAAAAACGTTTCTGCAAGTTAGATGCCACAAACTTATATACATGCTAAAGTACTGAGACGAAGATGAAACAATTAGAGAAAGAGACAAACAAATTAAAGCCAACAACAACATATAATATATATATATATATATATATATATATATAATAAGACATCTATATACGGTACGTACTTTTGCTTGTTTGAGAATAGTGCCTTCAAGATTGTATTGAGTCATGCTCCAACCAGTACTCTTAGCCGCCTTAGCATCCGATTTCATTCTATACGTAAGACTTCTCTTCCCTCCTATAACTACTGCGGTTTCTTCTTCTTCTTCGGTACCAAAATTACTACCATCCATATCTTTTATAAGTTTAGCCTTGTCTTGCCCCTTCCATGTACCCATCGTTTCCGTCACACATTCGATTCTCGAGCCATTTTCGTGCTTCTTCTTCAACCTGGTGAAAAAATAAAGAACTTTTTCTTCCGAACCCTCAAAAAGCTCGGAGGGCTCTTTGCCGTAAACATCACAATCCTTCACAACATCTTCACATGGCAATTCTTCTTCCTTCGCCTTGCACAACAGATACTGAATCAACTCCTTGTCAGTGGGCAGAAACTTATAACCACTTGGAATATTAATTAATTCCATATCTACGGTTTGTAATGTTTTCTTTAATTTTCTTGAGCTTTCCTCATAAACAAACGATGACAAACCCTAATTCCAGAATATGTACATATGCTAATTTCTTTGATCAATATGGTAGCTTTTTTATATGTGAAAAGATGGGAGTTCTACCTGCCAAGAATGTATTGCCTGATCGGATTTGGAAATTAACAGCTTCAGGCCGGGGCAATTATAAACTGACGTCATTTACAAAAATACCCTTCGCTTAACATTACCAGTACCTGGCTTCGGTTTTATATTCAATCCTAACTACTTAGTATTTGAGTCCAACTTAAATATTGATTGAATTACTTTAATATTTCATACATGTTAGTTTTCAAGTTTACTTTCTTAGTTTGTTAATTATAACTACATGTTACTATGAATTATTACACCTGCCATTTTATCATTTATATATTACCATGAATGATTGTACTTACCATATTATCAATTATAAATTATTTATTCACCACTCACCTATTTACAACCTTAACCTATATATAAGATCATATATTACTGTTTATCATACAATTCAATACAGTATCATATTTTTTTCCCTCTCTCAATATTTCTAATTATGCAAATATTTTGAACAAGTTTTTTTTATATAATTCCCATATAATATTATGTCATACACGCTATCTGGGTTGAACAGATTGATTTAAATGAATAATTTTGATTTATAATGTATCCAATTTGATTATATATTCTCATACTCAGATTGGATTTGAGCCAACTCATTCACCTAGGCTAAAAAAATAATAATAATACTAATAATGAGTAACACTTTCGTGCAATTCCTCATGCATGAAGCAAAGAAGAAAATAGGGCTAATTTCTAAAAACCCCCCTCTTGTTTTAAAATAGTATCTACTAACCTCCTCAAGTACGGAAATTATCATAAAATCCCTCAACGTATTTTAAAATCTATCATATGACCCCCTCCCCGTTGTTGACCATCTAAAACTAACGTCTTCTAATCATGCGAGCGTCACGTGCACCAGATACCCCAATATAATGACGAAAGTACCCTTATTGTATGGAAATGATGAAAAAACCCTTCAAGTTTGTTATCTAACCCCACCCTCTCGGTGATGCATTGTTTATCTCATTCCTTCTCTGTCGTTGCATTGCACTGGTTAGTGAGGATTGCCGCCATAGAAGATCTCTTCTCTCGTTCGTTGCTATCGCTTCTCTCTTCGTTAACTTGCCGTCTTCTCTATTATCTCTTCGTTAAGTGCCTTCTTCTCTCTTCTCTATTCTCTCTTCGCTCTTGTCTTCTCTTGTTTTTGTCTGTGATTGAAGTGGTTTGAGGATTCTCCATAGCAGCAGTATCATAATCCCTAATTGATCTTTTAAATTCTCCAATTGATGATTTGAAGCCCTAATTGATGTATTGAAGTCCCCAATTGATTATTTGAAGCCCAAAATCGTAGCCACTCTGTGCCCTATTCGAAGCCCTAACCCGCGATCAAGGAACCCAAATGTCTTCTTCGAGCACGCAATCTGTTAATCGGCAAGATCTCAGGTATAACAACATAATATGTGGTTGTGGCTATCCAGCTATAGTGAGAGTTACAGGTTTAGATGAGTATAACAACAAAGGGAGGATATACTATTCTTGTGGTACAAAAAAATACTCTTTATGGGCATGGTGTGATCCGATTTATACAATGCCAGCATATACTGAAGCAGATGAAAGCAAGTTTAGTGAAATTGCAAAACTGAAGTTCCGTTTGGAAGCAATGGGAAAAAGTATGGAACAAATCCAAAAAATTCTAAAGCAATTAGTTGTAACATTTGTTATGTTCTGTGTTGTTGCATGTATAATAGCTTTAGGAAGAAAGTAGTCAGTTGGTTTAAATATGAGGCTATGTATGCAAAATATATTTTGAAGCCGTATGAAGTGTGTATGCAATGTACTTTCTGAATTGTCAAGTGCATAAGTAAAAGTATATGTTGAAGTTAAATTGTAGAATTGTAAGTGTTGAGCCTTGTGTTTCGAATTGCATGAACAAAATCAAATTGACAAGTTACAATTTGTCAAAATGCATTTAAGGTAAAGTTGCATACATATATTCAAACCAATAGCTTCACTATCCAAAATAGCCATACATTAAAAACATTAACTATCATTACATTGCCATGCATTGTCAAAAAGCCAACACATTCACAGTCCAAAATAGCCATACATTAAAAACAGCCACTGTCATTACATTGCCATGCATTGTCAAATAAACCAACACATTCACTGTCCAAAATAGCCACACATTAAAAAAATCACCACTGTCC